GCCTGCACCCCACCCTTTATTTTCCCCTGTCTGTCCCCTACTCCCTACCTCCCCCACCCCTTGCACCCTATGCCTGCCCCCTGCTCCCTGGCCCACCCCCACTTACCTTCTGCTGCAGCTCTGCTCTTCCAGGGTACTCAGCAGTAGCATGGTCCCAACCCAGCCCAGACAAGAAGCAGCAGCAACAGCTCCTGACTGGGCAGAGTCGGAACTGGAGGGACCTGAGCTAGAACAGAAGGTAGAGGGGACAGCTGGAGGCAACGGAGTTAGGGGTGGAAGGCCAGCTGCATGTGGGAGGCAAGCACAGGCACAAGGGGCAGGCTACAGGTTCCCCGCCTCTCCAGTCTCCTCTGCACTCCCCTCATCTGCATGCTCCCCCAAACAAGCTCTTCCAGCCAGAGCCGAGTGGCAGCTCAGCTCTGGTTTCAGGCCAGGACCTGGAGCCAAATCTGGAGCTGAGCTGCTGCCTTGCCCTGGGCTGGTACTTGAATCCAAGATAAGACTTCCCCCCCTCCCGCCCCCCATCCTGACTGGGGGGAAAAAGCCTGTCTTGGATTCAAGTAAATGCAGTACTTGAAAGAAACAGTTTCACCAAGGAAAAGAGGCTTTGTCCAAGCTTTGAACAAAGTCTGACTTGTGTCCATGGAAGTGGATTTAAATAAGTATAAATTCTAAGACAGAAAGGATAAGACTTCAAGCAGGGCTTTTTGAAATAACCTGTCTTCAGTACTTCTGCACAAAAGGCTGGGATCTTTGGTTTGCAAGAAAATAATTTTTCACAATTACGGTGCTGTTTTGATGAGAAGTCTACCCTTTCTTCCAAAACAGCCATAAAAACTGCACTCTTATAAGCTGACCCCACAAATAAACAGGCCCCCAATAGTGTTGACTTGTGTACTTGCAGTATTCATGCAATAAAAATACCAAGTCACATTTTTTTCAATGCGGTTGTTATCTTGGTATTATTAATGAATTTAACCCTTTGTATCCTTTCCTCGTTTATGTGATTCTCCTGTGGGACTGTGAATAAGCATTTTACAGGCTTTATCTGTAGTTACTTAGTCAGGGAAAACTGATTTATCTTAAAATTGAACCTGAAAACATGGGGTCAGCTTATATGTAGGGTCAACTCATAACTGGAGCAACACAGTTTATCTAGGGACATAATCATAAACAACAATAGCAATAACATCATTTGGCAAACTAATCTTGGCATTTAGGCTGCAATTCAGGAAAGCACTTGAGCACATGCTTATATTTACCCACCAAAAGATGCATGCTTAAAAACTGTTCTAAATAGTGATGTTTCTCTAAGTCAGGGACTTAATGAAATCAAATGAAGTAGGAACATCTACTGAAACTTCAGAGTAAATTAACACTAAAAGCCTGATAAATCCTGCTGTATGCTGGGGCCAACAATAAAAACATTGCACACTTTGCTAAAATATATAATTATTCAGATCATATAATTTAACAAGCCAGTTCTCCATAAAGTTAGTTTTAAAAGATGCTTATTCTTTAACCCCTGATGTTTGACTGACAGAAAATGTAGTTCTCTCAGACAAATGACCATATAACCAGACTCAAAGATTGTTCTGTTTTCTAGATGCTGACCAATTAAATACTACCTACAAAGCAAGCCTATTTTAGTTGCTATCAACAGCAACAAAAAATTGTTCTTCAAGACCTCCTCTCCTATGGCTCTAACTCAGCAATTGTTCATGCAGGTGTCTGGCTTTATCCACATGAGTTGTGCCAATGAAGTCAACAAGATTTCTCATGAATACAAAGCAAAGCATGTGCACAGGTCTTTGCAGGACTGAGAGCCTAAATATCAAATATGAGCACAATACCCAGTCCTCCTTATGCCCTGGAAAGGATCCAACTCAAGTCCCTGGGACTTTACAGAGAACTAGAGAAAAGGTTTAACCATTTGTGTCTCAGTAGTAATCAGGCTCCTTGTTCCACATACTCCCTATGCTATTTAAACAGAAGCTTTCCAAAATTCATGTTGGAATAATAAAAAGGTCATTTAAAAGATTTTTAAAACCAACTCTTTATGAACTAAAATGCTAATTTATTTCCCTACCACTATGAAACTGCAATAAATAAAATAGCCAGGAGATGGCGGTCACTTACTTTGACTTAGTTGTGAATTGGCTTTAGATAAACCATGAACAGAGTCTACAAAACTAAAACTTAAAAGAAACTCATAAAAAGTTTTACATGCTGTTGTTATTTAATACAATTTCATAAATGAAAAATGCATAATGCAAGACATCCAAAATATAGTCCAAAGGATATGTTCTATTAAGTGTATCATAAGCCCTGATCTTTACACATTCAAAACCTTGAAATAAACACATCACTTTGAGCTGGCCCAAAGTTTTTTTAAGAACTGGTACGTCTACATGTTCAGTAATGTGCTTTTGCTGCTGCACATTAAATTTAGCACCTCTAATGTGCAGTACTAAAAAAATGCACGTTAGGCTGCACTTAGGTGCAGTAATGTAGGTGCATGCTTTTTTAGTAACACTGAATGTTAAGTAGCTTCTGTTTAAAGTGCACTAGTTTTTTGACAAGACACTTTAATGCACAGTCAAATAAGCTACTACGCATTAAAGCACATTTGTAGATGCACAAAGTGATGCCTAAATTAGGCTCCTACATCCTTATTTAAGCCCTAATAATGCACAAATTTGACCTTCTACCTTAAGATCCCCATATAGTGTAATGGAACTATGCTGATTTAACATAACTGAGAATTTCAGTAAGGTTATTCTCCCTGAATTAAGAACACACTTGTATTTTTGCTGTGTCAGGACTGTAGACCCATAAAGACAGTCTGATTTTTAAAACTGCTAACCATCCAAGAGCTTTTATTTACTTCTGCAAGAAGTTTTGAGAACAAGATGCTAATTTCACTGACTATTCAAGAACCTAAGTTTATGGACCCATTCTGAAAGTCTTGGGCTTAGACTTGAAAGAAATACAAAGAAATTTAAGTAAGCAAAGTTGGACAAATATTTTTGAAGATGGAGGGGATTAATAAAGGCTACAATGTAATAGATTGTCTTTATATTTAAAAAAAATCCAACCCTATATTTCTGTTCACAGAACAAAGGTACCCTTGTTATTGCTTCACTTACTAAAACAGTTGAAAACAGCATAGAAACTACATGTGTATGTATAATAATTTCCAGTTTTAAAATCAGTGCTAATTTTTAGAACTCTTCACATCAGAAACTCTGGATGGAAAAAATACACAATTTAAATTATTTCCTTTTTTGCTCAAAAATGTCAGTGTTTCAAGTAATTCTACAACAAAATTAAGCAAGTCACATTCAAAAGGTATAGAAAGCCTTTTTTTAACATAAACAGTAAGCCTCTCTCATTTGAAATTGACTTCTCTCTTTCTTTTAACTGTGGGATTGTAGCTTCCTCTGATGCTGGATATACATGTCCAAGTGACAGCTACCTGCTTTTGGAAATATATCTTTGTGAATGGGAATACATTAGAGGCACTACTTGTTTTCCTGATTTGGTCTAGAATAAATTCCACTGCTAGGGACTAACTCTTTACTTGAAAAGTAAGAAGTATCCTTGATCATTCCTGAAAAGGGGTAGTCCACAGCTGAGTAAAGAGGGAAAGCTGGAACTAACCCAGATGCTAAGTAAGGTGATATAAATCCTGGGAACCCTCTCCCAGGAGCTGAATATGCCAGCCTTAGAGGGCTGATCCCCAGTCTAGGGCCTACGCCATACAGATTTGTTTCACTTCTAAACAAAGGAGAACTAGTCTGAAGAGGAGAGAAAGCTGATTTATTGACAAATCCTCCAACACCTAACCCAGCTAAACTCAAACTAGACGCTCTCTGTAAAGCACTGAGTGCAGACCTGGATGGGCTTGCATTGATGTCTTCTTTATGCTCTTTCCCATTCAAGATGTGCTCTATGGCTTGGACAACGTCTCCTTTGCAGAACTGCAAAACGTTTTCCAGCCTGTTTCGTTTATAACTGGGGAAGACCTTGGTTAGAATGTCAAGAGGGTCTCTTGGTCTAGACCCAGCACTAGGAGGGCTGGAACTAAAGGCAGTAACATCCTTGGACCATTCACTTTCGTTTCCTGATTCCATATCTGAAGAAGAGGGGGATCCTGAGCTGTCTGCAGTTTCCAGCTGCTCCTCAGGACCAGGGGACTGAACTCTCTCTTCCTTTTCTGAAATGTCGCAGCAGGGTGGCTTCTCTCTGTAGTTTCCGCTAGCTCCTGCAGATTTAGAAGATCTTAGCAGAGGAGGATGCAGTATGGGCATGGGACCTTCTGGTCGGGCACGGTACAGGTCATATTTCTGTGCCTTCTCTTCTGGGGAAAATAAATAAATAAATTAGTCTAAAGGTCATCAACTAAACTTCTAGAGCCTTGTAGAAAGGTAGCAAAATTCCCAAACAGTACATAAAGCTCTTCCAAAGAGCAGATCTAGAGTGGGAGGTGCCAACTTTTGTCAAGTAGATGCTAAAACTCACATTGACTTCACCAGAGCCAGAATTTACTCTCATCTTCAAATCAGTGATACTATCCTTAAGATTATGGGCTAAAAAGGGACAACCTAAAATTAAAAAAAAAAACCCTGCACCTTCACACTAAAAATACCAAAAGGAAATAGCAGCCTCCTGCCCCCAACTCTCCAGAAACTCCTGTGCTGGAAAAAAAGCATTCACTTCCCTGGACTGAGACAAGCTTACGCCAAGATGAGTCTCCCACATTTATTTAGAATTATATCAGCTAATTTTAGTGAGGAAACAGAAGTTTGTAATTTTTTTTTTTCCGAGTTAGCAATGTCGACTCTGAGTTGATTTCTATTACTGTGAGTTGATTCCTATTACTTCTCATTCATCATCAATAGGATTATTTATTACATACATATTATTACATTACATTATTTATTACATAGGATTATTTATTACATGCAGATTTTCACTGAAAGACACCATATTTGTTTAGTCCTACTTGTCTGGGGGAGAAAATTTAGGAACAAAACTTTTGCTATTTTGGGTGTAACTTTCCTCTACTTGTTTACAAATGAAATGGAGATTTTCAAGATGGATCAGGCAAAAGTTTTATTCTTCAAACTTTTCCAAATACTTCCCTCCTACTACTTCAGTGCTTAAGTTTGTGAACAAAAAGAAAAACAACTAATTTAAAAAAAGACAGAGGGCAGTTGGTCCTCAGAGGAACAGGTTTTCCAAACTGTCGTTTTTTAGCTGAGTGACAGACAATAAGTGATGCCAGCCCAATAGCAAATCCTTGAAGGTGTAGGGCTCTTTAAATTGACCAAGCAAAAATTTGCTGAAATATGCATTTTCTAATAAATTTTTCACATGGCATTTCCATACACCTTGCATAAATCTGGGGCCTAATTCTGCATGCCTCTCCTCCCGTTTACAGAGAGCTTGCAGGGCTAGGTCTTAAATAAGGTCCTATTTGTACCTCTGGACCGTCACAAACTGACACTTTAACAACACATTCCCACAGACTTAACTGGGAGTTTGCATGAATCTGATCACAGGGTAGGAGTTTAAGAGATCCACATCTGCCTTGTTTTAAAGTTATCATTGTGAGAGACACTGAATTTTTGCGATACATAATAATAACTCTTACTGCCAGTAATAAATATCTCTATATATCCTTCCTTTGCCTCTAGCCTGAATGCATGTTCTTACTGTATATAATTTCCCCACCCAAAAGCTTCACTTCTGATTTTAATTTTACCTAAATCACAAACACAACACTTAAAATATGTGATTTCTCACAGGCACAAGCCAAAGCAAAAATTTGCAGATAGGTAGAGAACACCAAGTCAAACTTAAAAGGCAACAATTCAAGGCTCCCATAAAAGCTCAAGGTAATACTGTTGTTTCTTTTTTTTTTCCCCGTTATGGGAGTGGGGGAGGGGAACAATTAATATGGGACATGGCCAGGGCACATGCCCATGGGGGTAGACACTTTTGCCTGCACAGACCATTTGATGGCACTGAAGCTTCATATGGCAGAGAGGTCCGTCTTGTATATACATTGATTTGTAGGCCTTGGACTTTAAAGGTTATTTTAAAAGAAACTACCACAAAAGTCATTGCAACATGCATGCAACAATGAAAACTCTTTCAAATTGCACAATCTTGACTTTTGCGCTCCCCTCCCCTAGATTTTCACTGCTAAAGATTTTACAATATCCTACATTTTATTTTATGCAGTCCTGAACGGTCATGTTCTGCCCTTGCTCAAGTCAGTAAGAGTTTCACCATTGTCCTCATTCTCTCTCTTTCATATGACATTTTAGGATTACAATGTTCACACAACATTCATAGATTAATATCTAAATATGATAGACATTCAGCTGCTTCAAGGGGGTAGCTGCATAGATTGATTTTAGATTGCCATGAAATGATCTAATTGGGCAATCGTTCACAATGTGTTGCACCATTTTAAAAATCGCACCACAATTGTAACCCAGACTCTACTGTCTTTAGTGATGCTAACTCAGCTTTTGGAACCTGAGCCTTTCCAGGATGAGAGACCAAACCAATTTAACTGAAAGTTCTCCCAGGTATACGCATGCCAACTTTCCTAACATTTAGCTGCTGAAGTATTCCCATAAGCCTTAACTGGACTTCTCCATTAAATAAAAGTCTGTAAGATCAGGCTCAACATTTTAAACAATATAATGCACCAAAATTAGCAGGAGCAAGTTATACCTGAACAAACACAAAAAAACCAAAAATAAAAACACCACGTACTTTTTCAAATCATCAGAATGCCAACTGTCAGCTACCTAACAAATGTGACCTTGGCTTAAAGAAATTCAGCTAGCACCATTTTTTATTTCATTTCTCAAAGCTGCATTGTATTGCACTGCACTGTTAACCCATTACTTACCATACTTTGTATGCAGATGTTGCACATGCATTATTATGCAAGATCCTGCAACTGCTTAACACTGAAGTTTTATTCAGTGTTCTACCCACATACAAAACTGTAGACATTTTTTAATGCATGTTTTACTCTGCAGCAGGTTTACTGAGGTCAATGGAAGTACGTGAGAGCTTGAGACAAAGGGGACACTTGTTTGTAACACTCGAGCCATATACGATAAATCTAGTCTCTAACTTACCCACGTAATATTAAAGTGGCTGATAGCATTTTAAATTTATTATTATGCCTATTACTGATAATAAATGATGAGGATAATAGAGGTTGTTAGCCCTTAGTAAGACAGCACAGTAGACACTAAGTGAAAAAAATCAATAGGCCTTCATGAAACAGTCCCAAATGTATGTGTCCCTACCCTCACTTGACAGAGAGGTACCTAGCCACATCTATCTAAAGGAGGGGTGGGCAATTATTTTGGGCAGAAAGCCGCTTACTGAGTTTTGGCAAGCCATTGAGGGCTGTGTGACAGGCAGCCAGGGGCAGATAAATATTAATTTTTAAAAAATTTTAGGAGCCCCACGAGCTGGATAGAATGGCCCAGCAGGCCACATCTGGGCCACAGGCTGCATTTTGCCCACCCCGATCTAAAGGAAAGCAGAAGGCAGGAAAGGGGTACTTTACAGCAGCGATTCTCAACCAGGGCCCCAAGCCATCTTGAAGTGCCTTGAGATCCTTTCAAGGGTACTGCACAAGCTGAGCACTGTTAAGTGTGCCAACACCATACCCATGAGAGACTCCCAGAGCTGACACAACAGGATGGCTCCCCACACCACAGAGCCCTGCCCAGTTGCACTCTCCCCAAGTTCTCTGCCACATGGAAACAGTGCTGCTATTTTTCCAGGGTCAAAAAAGAGTGAAAAGCCAAAAGCTTAAAAAAAAAAAAAAAAAGGGTTAGGAACTGCTGCTTTGGAGAGGAGGCAAACTGGGGGGGGGCATGAGCTCCAGGGGCCTGTCTTACTTATGGCTTTTCAACCAAGATCAAAAGCATTAATAGTAGGCAGAAAAAAAATTAAATCACAGAATCATAGAAAATCAGGGCTGAAAGGGCCCTCAGGAACTCAGCTAGTCCAGTGGTTCTCAACCTTTTTTGTACCAGAACCCATTTGTAAATGTTGATGGCCAGTCCCAACCCAGTGCCCCTCACTCCAGAGCCTCTGTCCCACGCTCCCAGCCCTGCAGTCTGTGGGGTGGTGGGTGCCCCAAGCAGCCCCTCTGCCAGCCTGCAAAGGAAAAGCCACAGCTTCCCACATTTTTCTCCTTTAACAGAGAATCCATTTTTAAGTTTGCTCCTAACCCTTTCATAAATTCTTGTAACCCAGGGGTTGACAAATGCAGATCTAGTCCAACCACCCTGCTCTAAGCAGGGCCATCCCCATCTAGCTCATCCCACCCAAAGCCTTATCTAGCAGGGTCTTCACAACCTCCAAAGATGGAGATCCCACCTCTCTGGGTAGCGTGTCCCAGTGCTCCTAGTGAAAGAGGTCTCCCTAATATCCAACCTAGACCTCCGTTGTTGCAACCTGAGCCCACTGCTGCTTGTTCTGTCACCTGTACCCAGGTTGTAACGGTACTGGTCCAGAGGCAAAAGGAAGCAAAACTCGTAGCAGAGTTGACATCTTTTAGCTGGCCCAATAAAGGATATCTTTGTTATTTATGTCTTTTATTTATATCTTTTACCTAATGTAATCTCTGCTACGACTTCCGATTCCTTTTGTTCTGTCACCTGCCACCAGAGCCCAGCGTAGCTCCAGGTCAGGTCCCTGCCTCCCTCACCCGAAGACTAACAACAACGAGGACAACAACGCTGCTGCTGACGTCACAACGGGCTAGAACGGAACGGAAGGCTGGCCCGCGTGCAGCGCGCGGACACGGCGGGATCCCCCGCGCCCACAGCCGCCCGCTCCCTGCCCCGGTCGCACC